TTTTTTTTTTTTTTTTTTTTTTTTTTTTTATGAAATTTGCAAATATACCCCAGCTTTAACTTAGATTTCATTTAAATCTAACTAATTTAAAATGTATTTTAGGTTCAAATTGCATTTTAATATATCAAATATTCATTAAAATATAATTTAAGTCAAGTCAAATCATTCTTAAAAGTAGTGATTGAGTTGAATTAATCGAATTCTTCCGATTATAGTATTTCGAACACTCTTAAATCAAATCAACACTATTAAAAGTAGACAAAACACCATGATTTAAAAGGACAAGATGGAGATATGATAATTCAAGGATTTAATCAGGAATATATAGTAGCGTTATGAACCCCCCATTTTAGGTCACACTTCAACTTTATTGTACCAATATAAGAATTTCTCTTATTGATGGATCAGATTTGACTACTCAAACATTATATATCTTTGGATCTGAATCCCCCATTTGTTAACTCTCCTTCCACTAATTAATCAATAATAAATTGTTTATTATACATTAATTATTTTCAAAATATTAATTTACACATTATTGCGGACCATATTTTAATTAAATTATTCTTTTTTGGAAAATTCAGCAGTTTCGAATGCCACGTAAATGCTACATTATTCCAATGTCATCTCCTAAATCGGATTTATTTAAACTAACAAAAATATAAAAGTATAAAAGTATTTCTTATAAATATTGATCTCCTATTTATAATTTAAAGATAAACACAGGCATAAAACTTTATCGTGATAGTATTTTCATATTTTCATTTTAAAAAAAATATAATTTTGACACGTGTACTTTAGAAAATATAATTTTGCCTTTTTAAGTTAATTAAAAGAGGGAAAATAGATCGAGGCGGTGAATTAAATGAATGTAACTTTTAGCTTTTCTCCGACGTCACCGACCAGTGGCGAGAGGGTGCCACGTCATGGTTCTGATTTATTTTATTTTTTTCCATTTCTTTTATTGGTGTCGTCTCAACGGCAGGCGTGCCACCGGACATGGCGGTTATGGTTTGATTTAATTATTATAAATCTTCAATAATTACTTAAATTTTCAATAACAAAATTACGTTTCTGCCATTACCGTAGACAGCCTGTCTCCTGAAGATGCAACCTTAATTACCCTTAAAGCAACGACCATAGATCTTTCTCTATTCTCTCTCACTTCCTATCTTTGGTTTTTAATAATGAATCTCAACCGTCCATTTTGTCCCGCTTATTAAATTAGGTTCAAATTAACACGTCCTTACCATTTTTAAATATTATTTTATTAGTTCACCATATTTGGAATGTTAAATGTTTTATTTCGAGAATTCAATCCATTTAGACTACCAAATTTAAACTATAAATTTTAGATTTATTCAAAAGTTAACATTTTTTTATTCGGATCAATTTGATCAATAAAAAATAGAGATACAATCTAACTCAATCTTACGGTATTTTTTAAGATTATTATGAAAAATTAAAAAAAAAACTATTTTATTAGGATTAAAATAGTTCCAGAGGAAATAGTGGCAGAGTTGACACCGGATAAAGAATTAAATTAACCCGAAAACCATAGCATTAAAAAAAATAAAACAGAATTAACTACTAAATGTGTGGTGGGCCCAATCATCTACATCAACATCTACTTCACCTCATGCGCAACCATCCACCTCCGTCCGATCGTTGACTTTCTCTCAGCCATGCTCTGAAGTTTGACCTTTTATCTCCATCCACATTTATTTATTTTCCATAATATTTTATTCATTTATCAAATACAGAGTAAAGACTTAACACCAATAATGGAAATAAATTACTTTTTTATAATATCCATTTTCATTTTTATATTATACTTTAAAAATATTAATATGGGACGATATGATTTTTTATTTTTTTTTGTCAACATCTCGTCTAATACCTTTATTTAGTATTAAACGATATAATATTTATTTTAATCTAACCAAAATCTCCTCGGATAATTGATTAAGGAAACATATAAATCTTATTAATTATTATTATTTTACAAAATTATATTATTTTTCGTCTCAACAATATGATCATTATTTTATCAAAATGTACAAATCATATAGGGTACAGAAGCATATATTATTTTTTATTATAAGAGTCAAGTCATTTTTTAGCTACTTGCCCTCCATATATTACTTGTTGGGGAACAATAGAAAGCTCATTTATAAAATTTTGATCTTAAAAAATTAAATTATTGAGCTTATAGATTATTTAATTAGATTTTTTAGTATTTAATTAGCATTAGGGTATGTGGCTTCCTCTTCCACAATCAGCTGCATAAAAGTTGCTTGGAAAGGTCTTTGCAGATCATCATTAAATAAAATTAAAAATAAAAATAAAAATAAAAAATAAAAAAAAAATCCTTTTTGGTTCTTGGTCCTTCATGATTGTTTCTTTTGATTTCCTTTGAAGTGAAAATTTAGATTCCTTCTAGAGATTCAATTGGAGTTGGGTTCCTCCTAATTCATAATAATAATTTACGCCAAAATGACTAATAGACGTCTTAATTGTTATTAATTGAATTAGGTAAATTTGGTACTCTAATATATAGAGATTCGAGTAATAGAAAAGGCGAGTATGTATGGATGGTGTCAAATGGATCCCAACTTAGAATCTATTTGTCCCTACCGTACATACCAAGTATAATTTTAGGCATTTTTTTTATTTGAATTCCCTCGAAAACATATTAAGAATATTAATGGTTTACATGAAGTGAGGTATGGTTTTTTCCATATAGAATTAGATTCTAGCCATCACCGTGTATGAACAATTCTCTATATATTCTTTAAACTCAAAATTTAATTAATTTTAATTTTAATTTTTATATTTTAAAATTTGGATCAAAGCTTAGAAAAGACCGTGTACACCTGATTCACTTAATTATATCGAGATCAATATCGAATTTGGATCAATCAACTTTGAATGATTACCAAACATGTGATATACCTGGAAAAGGCATCAAACAAGAGGCATTTGGAGTCAAAAATTGTATGGCTTTTGAAGTCCATAAGGAATTTTTGCCAAAATGTTTGCATATGACAACAAGAATCAAAGGCAAAATTCAATCAATAATGTGAGCTATGCATAGAACATGATGTGTGGGCTGTGTTTTAGCTTTTATAAGCAATATGAGAGGTTAAGGACAAAAGTAGTCATAACTATTTTAAATAAAAACAATATAATATAATAAGTGGAATGAAATTTGCCACCTCTCATGTGAATTTGTCTACTAATTCTAATTTAGCTAGTGCCTTGAACCCACATGTTATCAACATTAGGCTTTGACAATATCTCGTGTCCACCTCTTTCAGAGGATTCAGGGACCAATATTCTTACTGGTATACCACCTTGTGTCCATCTTCTTTCAGGACTTGAGTCTCCTCGTTGGCACATCGCTCGGTGTTTGCCTTTGATACCATTTATAACGGTCCAAGCCCACCATTAGTCGATATCTTTCTTGGGCTTTCCCTTTTGGACTTCCCCTCCGTTTTTAAAACGGATATGGTATAGAAAATTTACGCACCCTTATTAAAAAAAATGTTTCGTTCTCCTTTTCAATCAACAATGCAATTAGTTACTTGAAATGGGTATTATAATTTGCAACGGGTAGAAATTTCATAAGAAATGGCGATGATTGAGTTGCCCCACGGTCCGGTCGCTTCGTCATGCTTTCATAAATCATGTTCAGCTGAAGCCCAGTTGAAGTGTGGACCATTACCCACACCTATGAGACCATCCATTTCTTTTTTGCTATCTAATCTAATCTTAACTCATGCACTTACGGGACCATTGCTGTACCATATTCCAATTATCTTGGGGTCTATTACTCCAACTTGTGTGGTCACTCAATCCCCTTTACTGGACCATTTTCTCCACGTGACGTACTTATTGGTTATTGTAGAGATAGGTGAAGCGTCGATATTTATAACAAATAATATCTAAACTATGCCTTTGACTTAGTTGTGTCGCACACCACCTGTTTGTGAAAATGCCAAGCTGAAAACCTCAACATCAACAAGGCTGATTCCTCTCCCTTTCTCGGTAATTTTCCATCACTAAACCTTCAATTTCCATTGTGATATCATTTTATTTGCCGAAAGGTGTTTGATTGAGAATGAAACTTCTAGGAATGGCTGAAATTATAGTCAGATTCGGAGCTTCAAATTAATTTTCTTTGTGATGGAAGCCCCACTTCTGAAAAGAAAGAAAGAAAATCCCGTTGTATGCATGTGTTTTTAAAGATGGATTTGTAAATTCAATCGTCTACGACATGGGAGACCCACTTGTGCAATTATGGTGATATTATAAATCATGACGCCACTTGGGGGACATTGAATTCATTTCTTCCAAAACGATGCTGTTTCGAACTGTTTCACCCACTCCAGAGCCCCAAATAAGACAATTGCAAGGGCTTGCTGTTGTTTTCTTAATAGGTATCTCTTATGAAACTATTTTTTATGACTTGGGAAAAATGCTTCATCCATTTCCCATATTTGGGTTTTGCTTTTGATTACAATGAACATCTCTTGTTTATAGTGTGAGATTATCAACTAAGTTCGAATATGTCTTTAACACGATTCTGGTCCAATAATCTTGGTTGCTTGTTAATGTAACAGTTCAAACTCACTGTTAGTAGACTTCTTTTTTGGGTTTCCCCTCGAGCTTGGTCGTTTATGAGTGTAACAGTTCAAGCTAGCAGATTTGTTCTTTTTGAACTTTCCCTTTTGGATTTCCCCTCACGTTGGTTTCTGGTCCTCTTTGTACTTTCCCTTCTAGGTTTTTCCTCAAGATCAGTCGTTTATTAGTGTAACTGTTCAAGGCTACCGTTAGTAGATATTGTCATTTTTAGACTTTCCGTTAGGGAGAAGTTTTCACACCCTCATAAAGAAATCGATGTGTGATCTCATAATTCATCCCTTTTCCTTATAATCCACCAATTTCAGGGTCTAGTGTCTCGTAGTTAGTCAAGCTCACTTGTAAAACAAAATTTTATACCGAATGTTATACCAATACATTTTTTATGTATAGTATCGAGCATTGGCTCCATCTCCAACTCATCTGATAATGAAGCTTCCTTGCTGCCAGGTATGATTTTGTTTTATTTCCTTCTTTTTAATATGTAATTTTTTTTATAATTTAATTTATCCTGTGAACAAATTACAGATGGATGTGGTGGTGCTACTTTCATTTTTTTTCTTAAAATGTATGCTTTTAATTTATTAAACAGAGCTATATCATTATTTTTAATTCCATCGGTCTTTATTAATTGTGAAAACAAAGTAACTTAAGGTCCGGCCCAATAAGCCATTTATACTGTAAGCCCACATAGAGCCAACCCAGCCCAACTTCAAAAATAGCTAGCCTTTTTTTTATTATTAATTTTAAATTGAGACCCAATTAGCTAGCCTTTTTCATTTTTTTTTTATAAGAAAATATTTTAATAACCAAAACATTAATAAACTTATAAATAATTATATATAAAAATTTGCAGATTTGAATGATAAATCAAATTCAAAATTTAAAAAACGTTTCGTTGAAATAAAAGATTGTAGCACATGTTCGATTTTGATTCTTATCTTAACATATTTAATTATTTGGAATTATAATATACAAAAAAATACAAAATACAAAATCACTATTATTATTATTATTTTGGGCAAGTTGCGTGTGAGCAAAAAATAACAATCGAACGCCAGCAAATATACTCGTCGTTTATGGGAGCGCTGAAAATGACACGTGGCGCTATTTGGCTTCTGAAATAATAAAATTTCCAAAAATAACGAAAGTTCTATGCACCCGGCGGTATTTTCATGGTTCACGTGCTTGTCGCATGCGCCAACGGGAAACTTCTAGGAAAACCACTATTCAGGACACGTGTCACATTCGTAGCAGAAAGTTACGGTGAAGCGGCACGTACATGTTAGTATCTCCCAAAGTATGAGGAGATTAAGTTGTAGAAACGTGTCAATCGTACTGTGGTCTAGGAAGGAGGTTACGGAGAAACGGCATCCAGAGGATAATCTCTGAATTTAAAAAGTGAAAAAGAAAATCAAATTTAGATTTTTGTAATTTATGATTTGAAAATATAAAAAGCGTTCGGAGTTGGACTTGCGTGCCTGTCACGAGACCTACCGTTCTCTTGTCGTCTAGCGTTTATTTTCGTCCCTTTTTCAGAATATTTGAAATTATGGAAAATGAATTTGGATTATTTAAAGAATATTTGTGATAATTTTGGCCTTTTTTAATGAGGTCAAAAAGGTCATTTGAATTAGTTTATATTTTCCATTAAATTGATTATTAAAAAAAAAGTAAATAGATAATTAAAAATAAATAAATAAATATATCATCTACTAAAATCGGGTCATGTTGATGATATGTATGTATGTATGTATGTATGTATGTACTTGCTGTAGCCGGCTACGAAAACATGTAACCGAAACAGCCGGTAAAAGTATACTGTCTAGCCCACGCGTCTCTAAACGCCAAATCGCCACGTGTCCGGTCTTATCCGTTCACAGTTTTCCCCCCTTTTAAATCGCTACCAAAGGTAAAGCAAAAAGCAACACATCCATTTCCCACTCCTCTCTGTCTAAAAAAGTACTTTCCGATCATCTCTCTCCAAAATGGCGACTAATCTCTTCACTTTTGCCCCCACCAGCATCCGTGCCTGTGCCTCCTCCGCCGACCACAACCGCCGGAAAACCTCCTCCTCCTCCTCCAATTGGTGGGCCCCGGTCTTCGGATGGTCCTCTGAACCGGACTACATCGACTCCGCCAACAAGTCCAACCCTAAAACTCCAGCCGACGGAGTTTCAAAATCAGATCCAGAGACGAAATCGGCGAGAAATCGATTTTCCCCCGGCTGCTTCACGGAGTCGAAGGCGCGACAACTTCGCCTGATGACGATGGAAACGGAATCATTTCACGATGTTATGTACCACTCAGCAATCGCATCTCGCCTCGCTACCGACTTCAAAAGTCGCGGCGATTCCTGATCTCCGCCAGTACCTGCGGCCGCCGATTCCTCTTATCTACTACATGTAATTATGTCTAATTGTATAAATTAATTGTCAATTCCAAGGATTAGGAGTTGTATAGTATTTTCTTTCCTTTTTCTTATGGTTCTGGCATTGTTCTTCCACGAACAATTATCGGTTCGAGAGGTGTTTGTCGAAGAAAAAAATGTTGAAATAATAAATTTGGTAGATTAGTGACTAACCATCTGCAATATTTTATGTATAAACATCTTTTCATTTTGGATAGGACTGAATCTCTTTGAGTGGAAGTCTGAATTATGAAACGGTGGATGAACTGTGAATTGGGCTCCGCCTGTCCACCATGACGTGACGCCTAGCAAATGATTCAACCACAGTATTTAATTAACTCATTAAATATTAATTATGTGATGTGATTACCTATGTAATCATCCGCCTCACCATTTTATCTACAAATAATTTACATATGAAGTTCATATTTTGGTTGATTTCAAAGTACTTCCAATTTATTTTACATTTAAATTAAACAACTTTGAACTATTATATTTTATAAATTTAAACTATTCGCTTTTTGCGTTTTAAAAAATTATATAAAGAAAATATTTATTCGTTATTTGCGTTTAAAAAGTTATATAAAGAAAATATTTACATATTAATAAGCATATTTTCAAATTATTAACATAAATGATTAAAAACGTTTCTAGAACTTACTAAATTATTTTTAAAACTAAAGAATTATATCTATTAGAATTTTAATATTATAAATTTTTTAATTTTGAAAAATGTTTAATAAAATTTTTAAATATCTTTTTTTGTTGAAAAAAAATTATGAATCTATTTGATATAAAAATAGAAAAAAAAAAGTCGAACGGTGGACTTTTTTAGTATTAAAAATCTATTAGAATAAATATTAAAAAAACTAAATATATATTTTGCAACAAAAATAAAAAAATATATGCTTTGGATGAATAGTTAAATAAATAAAAATATCGTATTTTATAAAAATATATTTTAAAATTAAAAAGTTTTAATGACTAAATCTAAACTAAAAAGAAAAAAAACTAAGAATATAGTTAATTTTGGATCCATACTTTATTTTAATATTTTCGAAAATTTTTAAAAAATCATTAATGCTGTTAATTTTTTAAAACTTTTAAATATTTTATTAACAATTTTAAAATTTTAAACAAGTTAAAAATACTTATTCTTGAAAACAAAATTAATAACAATTTTATTTAAAGTTATTAGAAAGAGTAGTCTTAGAGTTTTTTAAAAAAATTTAAGGATATTAATGAAAATATTGAAAATTAAGTAATTGTTATTAATTAGCCCAATTAATCGATTATTTTTCGGTGGGTCAGAAATAGTAAAACAGCGTTCCAAAATTTGAAAAATCACAGAAGATTCAATTCGATGGAGAAAAGCAACGGTGGAGCGTGATCTGACTACGAATCCAACGGTCAAGAAAATAGCGTCACTTGAAAGCCAGCACCGCTTACCATATAATAAACCCTCGTACTCAACTCTCAACACGTCTTATAACCTAAATCGCCGAACCGATTCCTTCCTCTCTCTTCGCAATTTCATTCGACGCATTCTCATGGTGGGTAGTCTCTCCTAGTCTCACTTCTCGATCTGGTTACTTTTCTGAGTACTTATTGATTGGATTTTGTGGTGAATTACACAGGCTTTGCCGGACCAGAAGACTGTTGATTATCCGAGTTTCAAGCTTGTGATTGTTGGTGATGGCGGTACTGGTATGTTCTGTTTTCTGTGTTTGATTTGAGAACAATAATCAGCATCATTTCGTGATAGCAATGTATCATTTAGGACGTGAAATAGTCTTTGCTAGCCAGTAGTAGTAGTTTTAGCTTAGCGTGAGAAGAAGAGAGCTTAAAACTTGAAAGTGTAACAATGCCGTATGATTTGAGCAGAGATTGACATGGTAGTGGATTTTTGTTCTAAGAAGAAATCTATGCTTTATTAGAGTTTTAACTTTTTGTTATAACTCGAAAGTCGAAAGGTATTCTGAATTAATTCTCTTAAGAGCATATATAATCATCCTAAACTTATTAATATTTTTGGTTTAGATATATTAAACCGGAAATTTGTCCTTCTTCGTTATTTTTTATGCCTTGTTAATGAGGCTTTTTGATCGGTAACAACAAATAAGAAAGATATTAGAAAAGAGACTTAAGAATGTTTAGGGTATCGGATTTTGTTAATCAAGGGTATTGGAGTTTGTATAGTTTCAGTTCGAAGGATCTTCCTTCGTCAAGTTGCATTCATCTAATACTTGACACTTGAAATTACGAGTATGATTGACCATGTTATATTGCGCAGGAAAAACAACTTTTGTGAAAAGACATATCACCGGGGAGTTTGAAAAGAAATACGAACGTAAGCATTTTTGCTAATCCTTTTCCATTTTATGGTTTATTCACTGTTAGGGCTTTCTTTAAATAAATAAAAAACTCTTATATGAATTTGTTCTTCTACTGTTTTTCATGAACTTAGCAACCATTGGCGTGGAAGTGCACCCTTTGGACTTCTTCACAAACTGTGGAAAGATTAGATTTTACTGCTGGGACACTGCTGGGCAGGAGAAGTTCGGTGGTTTACGGGATGGCTACTAGTAAGTTAAAGAAATTGGTCTTTTATTCTTTTGGGTGTATTTTTATGCTCTCAGGTTTCGATATTCCATGTTATACTCTGTTTGCACAATTCCATATTTCTAGTTGGAGTCTGTTTCGATGATCATTTTCTGTATTTCTAGTTGGAGTCTGTTTCAATGATCATTTTCCCTCTTAAGTAGGCCTCTACTGTTTATTTTGAAAATTAACTGAAACATACAAAACTAATTGTATCTGGTTCATCTGGCTATATTGTTGAATTTTCAATATTCTCTTGTACATTTGATCTGATAGATTATTTTATCTTGACTACCTTTTTGGGTCTTCTTTGAGATCTTGTTGTGGGTGTGTTATTCTATTTCCATGATAGGCTGTCAGGTTTGTTCTGATTTCAATATTCTCCTAGCGCTGAAAATCCTAATTTTATGTCTTAATCCACGATTGCAGCATCCATGGGCAATGTGCAATCATCATGTTTGATGTTACTGCCAGATTGACTTACAAAAATGTTCCTACATGGCACCGTGATCTTTGCAGGTAATTTAACTATTGTTTGTATGAAACTATCTTATATGAATGAATTGTTGCATTGTCAGGGAACCCGCTTACCATTTGTTTACTTCTAATAACCTGCAGGGTGTGTGAGAATATTCCGATTGTTCTTTGTGGAAACAAGGTCGATGTGAAAAATAGGCAGGTGAAGGCCAAGCAAGTCACATTCCACAGGAAGAAGAACCTGCAGTACTATGAAATATCTGCGAAGAGCAACTACAACTTTGAAAAACCATTCCTTTACTTGGCCAGGAAGTTAGCTGGGTAAATCCAGTTCTCTGTTTACTCTGGATTTCTTGTTTTCTTTAATGTGGGAACTTTCATGACAATGGACTTTCTTTTGTTATGGAAATCCAGGGATGCTAACATTCATTTCGTGGAGTCTCCAGCCCTGGCTCCTCCTGAAGTACACATTGACTTGGCCGCCCAGCAACAGTGAGACTTTCGCATCCCAAGTCATTACTACTAACAAAAGCATTCACATTCGTTGGAGTAATCTATATAGATGTTGCTTATTTTGTGCAGGCATGAAGCTGAATTAGCAGCAGCTGCCAGCCAACCTCTTCCGGATGACGATGATGATGCTTTCGAGTAAAAATGGTCAAAATCATTTGGTGAAATGATGCCCTTTGCATATTTATTTTCTCCTTGGACCCCCGAGTGAGATTTTTTCTCCTCGCTGGGATTAATAGAAGAGAAGGAAATAAATAGGTGGGGGGGCAGGGTGTGACTGAGGATTGAAACTTGAATTTTTGAAAACGGTAGTTTTCCTCTCCGGGATGAAAGAAATTTGTGGTGTAGATGGTTGGTTTTTGTTGAGATTATCGATTAATAGAGCCACATGACTTTTGATGACTCTTCATTTTTCAGAATTTATCTATCGAATGCTTCACTATTTTATTTGTGTGTATTCAATGCGTTTCCTCATGTCTTCTCTGGTGTCTTCTCTGGTTACATGGTTTCCAACAAAATTCGGGGTTGACGTGTTGATGAATGAAAAGATATTTAGTTTTTCGTTGGTGTTGAAATAGATAAATTTAAGTTGTTATAGCATGAATGCTTTGAAGAAAACGTTTAAAGCCCCTAGGGTAAGTGGAACTTGGCCATCTTCCAACAAGCAATGGCATCCCAGCATGTAAAACCCCAAAAGCAGCCGTCGTGGTATTGGCACGCTATTGGCTAGTTAGGCTGTTGGGTTGAGTCAGTAATGCCCATCCTTGCCTAGCTAGGAGGCCGAGATTATAACAGATTTAAAGTCACTGAAACTCAATCCTCCTCCGTTCTGATATATGTATGTACTGGAATGCTCTTCCACAGCCCTATAAATAGTTTGTGGGGATCCGATTTAAGGAACAACTTGAGACAACATTCTCGGTTGAAACGCCCACATCACCTTGTTAACATAGATTTCAAATGCCACCTTGAACGGTAGAGAATGAGTTTTGGTGGGATAAAGATGTCACAAGATAACACGACACTTGGATCATCATGGTAGCTGTCAAATCTGTGAAGAAATAAATGAATTTACGATTGGACTGATTCAGGACACTTGTTTCATAACTGACTTTACAAGACAACCGAAGCTCTAATGGCTACAGATAATCACTTCGGGAAGGGAAATGGGTTGTATTTTTTAGATTAATTCACAGGCTTTGTATTCTCTGCCCAAGCGTCCGCAGAACGTACAGAACAACCCTGCCAGGCAACGGCTTAATAACTTAACCCCCACACCTATCGTTAATAATTAACAATTTTTCTGTTAATTGAGACACAAATTAAGAATCAATCAATTTCGGGGTCCAAGAATTAATCTGAGATAAACCACACACGTCAAATTGAGTGAAAACCTAACCCCAAAAGATGAAAAGAGTAAAACAAACACAGATCAAATAGAGAAATGATGCATAATGAACTTTCATAGGAGGCCATGTGGCCCTATAAACCAACCATCTACACCACGAATTTCTTTCATCCCGGAGGAAAACTAACGTTTTCAAAATTCAAGTTTCAATCCTCAGCCATACTCTCTGCCTACATAGTCTCTTCTCTTCTGTTAATCCTAGCAAGGAGAAGAAAAAAAAAAAAAATCTCACTCCGGTGACAGGAGAAAATAGATATGCAAAGGGCATCAGCACAAGATGATCGACCATTTTTACTCAAAAGCATCATCGTCATCATCGGGAAGAGGTTGACTGGCAGCTGCTGCTAATTCAGCTTCATGCCTGCACAAAATAAGCAAATTGTAGATATGGATTACTCCATTGATGGTAAATGCTTTCATTAGTCATGACATAGGATGAAGAAATCTCACTGTTGCTGGGCAGCCAAATCAATGTGTACTTCAGGAGGAGCCAGAGCTGGGGACTCCACAAAATGAATGTTAGCATCCCTGGATAGCCACAAGAAGAGAAAGTTCATTGTCATGAATGTTCCCACATTAAAGACAGAAGTAATACAAAGTAATCCGGGAACTGGATTTACCCAGCTAACTTCCTGGCCAAGTACAGGAATGGTTTTTCAAAATTGTAGTTGCTCTTCGCAGATATTTCATAGTACTGCAGGTTCTTCTTCCTGTGAAAGGTGACTTGCTTGGCCTTCACCTGCCTGTTCTTCACATCAACCTTGTTTCCACAAAGAACAATTGGAATATTCTCACACACCCTGCAGGTTAATAAGTTAACAATTGAAATATTCTTCCCTGACAATGCGCAACAATTCATTCATATAAAATTGTTTCATAAAAACAAAAGTTAGATTACCTGCAAAGATCACGGTGCCATGTGGGGACATTTTTGTATGTCAATCTGGCAGTAACATCAAACATGATGATTGCACATTGCCCATGGATGCTGCAATCAAGGGTTAAGACACAAAATAAGGAATTTTCAAGGTAAGAGAATTGAATTCAGAATAAAGAGAAATGACAGTCCATCACGAAAATGAAAGCCACAATAATAGTCAAATATCAACTAATCTATCAGATCCGATGTACAAGAGAGCATTGAAAATTCAACAATATTGCCAAAGTTATGCAACTTTCAGTTAATTTCACTACGTATGAGGGAATATCAACATTGCGCAGCAGAATGTATCGGGGAATATAGAAACTTGGGAGCATAAAAATATAGCTTAACGAATAAAGGACCCAATTCTTGAACTTACTAGTAGCCATCCCGTAAACCACCAAACTTCTCCTGCCCAGCAGTGTCCCAGCAGTAAAATCTAATCTTTCCGCAGTTTGTGAAGAAGTCCAAAGGGTGCACTTCCACGCCAATGGTTGCTAAGTTCATAAAAAACAGTAGAACAAATTCATATAAGATATTTATTTAACGAAAGCCCTAACAGTAAATAACCCACAAAATGGAAACGGATTAGCAAAAATGCTTACGTTCGTATTTCTTTTCAAACTCCCCGGTGATATGTCTTTTCACAAAAGTTGTTTTTCCTGACCAACAAAGAGTCAATTCAATCATACTCTAATTTCAAGTATTATCAAGAATATCTCGACAGTCTTCAAACTGAAGCAATACAAAACTGGATTAACAAAATCCGATAGTCTAATAATCCTTTGTTGTCAACGTTTTAAATTCTCATTTCCAAGGCAATGTCATGAGTTTTCAAGTTTTATTAGATAAACAACAAACAGTGACAAATGACGGATTTCCTGATTAAACTATTCCAGCCAAAAAGATAAAAAAAAGTCCAGGTGATTTATATGTGCTCGTGAAAGAATTAATCTTGAATACCTATCGACTTTCGAGTGTTAATCAAGATTAAAACCGTAGACAAATTTTCTTCTCAGAACAAGAATCCAGTACAATCAATCTTTGTTCAAATCATACGGCATTAACATAGTTTCAAGTTTAAAGCTCTCTTCTTCTAACTCCAAGCTGAAACACTAGTACTACAAGCTAGCCAAGATCATTTTACGTCCGAAATGACATACTGCTATCACCATAAGATACGATACAGCGATCGCAACTGATTACTGTTCTCAAAGCAAACTCAGAAAACATAACGTACCAGTGCCACCATCACCAACAATCACAAGCTTGAAACTCGGATAATCAACAGTCTTCTGGTCCGGCAAAGCCTACAAAATTCACCACAAAATAGAATCAACAAATACTCTGAAAAGAAACCGGATCAAGAACAGATGAAAGAAAAAATAAGAAATAAACAGATCATCGAAGTGAGAATAAAAGAAACAACGCACCATTGGAATGCGTCGAATAATGGAACCGCGAAACGAGAGGAGGGAATCGGCGATCTTAGGTTAAAATGGGTTGAGAGTTGAGGGACGAGGGTTTATAGGGGAAGCTCTACGGGCCTGGCTAACAAGAATCTATTTGTTTTAACCGTTGGATTTGCAGTCGGATCAAGCTCCACCGTTGGTTTCTTTCGTTGAATTGAATCTCGTGTGTTTTTTGAATTTTGTGGCGCTGTTTTACCTTTTCCTGCCCCCACGGAAAATAAATTTGATTTTGGTATTAATTCAGTGGATAAAAGCAACGGCGGAGAGGGACCCGACTGCTAATCCAACGGTCAAGAAAGTAGCGTCGGTTGAAAGCTAGGCCAGCATTGCTTGCCCTAGAAACCATCTTCCTCAAATCTCGGCCCATTTCAACCTAAATCGCCGATTCCTTCCTTTCATTTCGCTTTTCTATTATTCGACGCATTCCAATGGTGGGCAGTCTCTCTCAGTCTCACTTTGATGATTAATTTTTTCTTTATTTCATCGGTTCGATTACTTTTCTGAGTATATTCTAATCTCTCTTCTTTTTTTTTTTTGCTTCTATTTCATGCTGAATTTCATAGGCTTTGCCAGACCAAAAGACTGTTGATTACCCGAGCTTCAAGCTTGTGATTGTTGGCGATGGCGGCACTGGTATTTCCTTGTTTCTGAGTTTTGTTTTACAATAATTGTCTGCCGCGACATCCTGCTGTATGTATCACATCTTAGAGTTGGATATTTAGTCGATGCAATGGGGGAATGGTTCATTTCTGTAGGTCTTATAGTTTTGAATCGATGTGAAATGGAAAATAAAAAAAAAAATACTTGTTTTGAATTCATGAGATTGGACAGTAGTAACAGTTGATCAACGAGGACAATTGTTCTTTTCTGTAGACGTTATTGTTTTGAATAGATGATCAATCATAATGTCAGCCTTTTCTATTCAATGGTATATGTTCTACAAGATCTAAATTAGTTTAATACACACGAGTCTCTCTTAAAGTTATTGGCAGCATTGTCAAAGAAAGATGGTTGCTTCTTTTGATGTGTTGTATTTCTATCTTTTGTTCTCTCAACTCAATCATGTCTCTACCGCTTTGTCTTGTATTCATGGGCGCTAATGATTGGTTAGCTTTTTACTAGCTGCGAAATTAGATTAGAATTGTACTAATTAGAAGGAAAGCTTAAGAAGAGATCGGGATTCAAGATGAATCTTTTTTATACCCTTTTCAAACTTGTTATTGGGTTCATGACTGAGTTGTACGTATATATTTTTTTTTCCAGGAAAGACGACTTTTGTAAAGAGGCACATCACTGGGGAGTTTGAGAAGAAATATGAACGTCCGTGGTTTGGCATTTTGTGTTTAATTGGATGGTTTATTCTGTTTATTGTGCTGTCTATGTACTTTCTTTTCAATTGTATTCATTTTTTCATGTTTTCTATGAAATCAGCCACCATTGGCGTGGAGGTGCACCCACTGGACTTCTTCACAAACTGTGGAAAGATTAGATTTTACTGCTGGGACACTGCTGGGCAGGAGAAGTTTGGGGGTTTGCGTGATGGATACTAGTAAGTTTGGTGGTTTGCCTGATTATTCTGAACATGGATTGAGATTTATGGGGCTAATTGTTTTTATTGTTTATTTTGTAATCTTATTGAATTTCCAAAGTTCTCTTGATCCGATACATTCATTTATCTTGATTCCCTTTTTTTGAACTGCTTTAAGCCTTTTTGATTTGTTATGTTTTAGTGATAAATGGTTTCTTTTTTCCATGATGAACTCCTGAATCAAATTTCTTCCTGCTATGGTTTATATTTCTAATGTAATGTTCTTTGTCCATGATTGCAGCATCCATGGGCAATGTGCAATCATTATGTTTGATGTTACAGCCAGATTGACATACAAAAATGTTCCTACATGGCACCGGGATCTTTGCAGGTGTTTTGAGATTTGTTTGTAGATGTTAAGGAATTTTGCATTAACAGGGCACCCTCTGATTTCTTCATTAAATTTCAGGGTGTGTGAGAATATTCCCATTGTTCTTTGTGGAAACAAGGTTGATGTGAAAAATAGGCAGGTTAAAGCCAAGCAAGTCACATTCCACAGGAAGAAGAATCTACAATACTATGAAATATCTGCGAAGAGTAACTACAACTTTGAGAAGCCATTCTTGTACTTGGCCAGGAAGTTAGCTGGGTAAACTCAGTTGCCTGCCTGTTTGCTTTTTACTGTTATCTTTAAAACGTGCGTTCACTACTCATGACGACAATTGGTTTCCTTTTCTTATGGTGGTGGTTACATCTGTTAGCGATGCTAACATTCAATTTGTGGAGAGTCCTGCCCTTGCTCCTCCAGAAGTACACATTGACTTGGCTGCCCAGCAACAGTAAGACTTTTTTATCACAACTCATAACCAATGAATCATTTACTGACATTCTTTAGAGCAATTCAAATTCTTATATGGCTTGTTTTCTGCAGGCATGAAGCTGAGTTGGCGGCAGCTGCCAGTCAACCTCTGCCAGATGACGACGACGACGCATTCGAGTAGATACATGGTTTGATGAATATCTGGTGATTTTCTTTATCAGATATCTATATTTTCTCTTTTTTCCAGCCGTGTGATCGTGTTGCTAGGATTGACGATAGGCAATTGGTGGGCTGGATGATGTGGGTGTGGGTAGATATCTGAGTTTTGAAAACGTGAAGTTTTCCCGGAACAAACAGAATTTGGTGTCAATGATTTGTTCTTTTGTGAGTTGTGTATGGATTAATGTTACTGTTATGGATTAGATGTTACAATAATTGAGATGAGTTGATTCCGTTCTTCAACCTTGTGTTCACCATTCTTAATGTTCTGATCTGTTGACATACTCTTCTAGGCATGAGAAGTATATATTAAACTAATATCAAGTTATATTGTATTAGTTACTAAGTGTAGATATTAGTTATATTGTATTAGTTACTAAGTGTTTTACACGCTCACGATATAAATCCATATTTAATTTATCCGTGGCAATAATTTATTATAATAAAAAGAAGGGTATATGAATGAACAATGAGATTTGTTTTCTTTCGTGAATATCCAAATAATTTTTGTGAGATTCAACTATTTCTACAGCATATTTAACATTCTTGGGAGCATGGAACCAACCATGCTCTGTCCAGTTTGCTGTCAGTAGGTTTGCTTGTGGGTGATCTGATGCTGTAAGCATGATTCTAAAATAGCGGATTATAATGTTTATAATATGATATAATGGCCTCGATTTTGGGTTTAGAGTAGTCTTGTCTGAATTAAAATCTAATAAATTAAAGAGTTTCGTTATAGCTCGAAAGATACAACTACTTTAGCGATTAACGAACAAAAGATTGACGCGTGGACTCTAACTCGGCCTAAGTTGTTGCAAAAACAAGCAGGAGGCACCCCCATAACATTATGAATTGTCCCTATCCATGTCGGTCTCAACCAAACATGCCCCCATTTCCATTGGACTACGCTGCTCTCCTCATTATCTTCATTTCCCTACGAGAATCCCTCCATTATATCTCTGTTCCCTTTTTGTTTTCCATGAAACAAATCCCACACAGTAACAAATGATTAACTAAACATCGACTTCAACCAAAAGTAAGGGCATGTGAGAAGTGGCATCACAGCCCGCCGGCATGTCTAGGAAATGTAGGGAGAGTTCTAAAACGACAGTGTCCATTCCTGTAATGGGGGCCTGCGTGGCTGCTTGCTTGTTGCTGAAAATGAACACAATTAAGCTCCAACAAAACACCAAAAGAATCGAGTGCCTTTTTCACTGTCGGTTGGCTGTCGATTGGGGCCCAAACCCCCCTGCTTGCCTTTCCCTTCTCTGTCCCTCTTCATCTCCATTTTTCTAGTTTCCCTCTCAGTGTTTAAGCAAATTTGTTGTTTTGAAGTGATATATCTTCCAATCTCTTCTGCCAAACCGACAGACACCCACTTTCGTGATAGAAACCAAACCCAGATTCTGGTTCCTCCATTTAAGACGCAAAACCAAATGAATTTAGAAGGGAAAAATGGGATGCAGGGCTGTATTTCACGTAAACTGGAAACAGGACATGTTCTACGCTTTTATACGATGAGAAGCATCCATTTGGAAGGCCCCTGTTTTTGTCTCTGCCATTTTTTACCCAATTCGATTCCTTTTCGTTTTTTTTGGCTGTTTTTTCCCAGAAAAATCTTCCGATTTCATTCAATTATCAATCACTGGTAGGTTGGTTGAAACTTGCAAGATGATGATGATGATTATCTGGATTCTCTTGCTTAAAAAAAAGTACTTTTTTTTCAGGTCCAAAACATGAAATTGGAAGGTTTTGCCATTGTCCTGTTTTTTCCAACTTTGAAAACAAAACAAGAGGATGAAATTATTATGGTTCAGTTAGGAATCCCTTAAACATTATACATATCCTTCAGGGACTTACTCTAACAGGGTGAAAATCCACGTTTATACGAAGAATTAGAGAAGTTGAGAGACTCTCAGTTAGCTAAGTTTTTCTTTACAGAATCTATTCGTGTGAGATTGCACGTCCGTGGGGGAGAAACGAAACATTTTTTTTAAGGGCGTAGAAACCTATCTCTAGCAGATGCACTTTAAAACTTCGAGGGAAAGCTCGAGAAGAAAAGCTTAAAGAGAACTGCATCTATCATCGATGAATTTGAGTTGTTACAAATGATATTAGAGCTAAATAAACTAGGATGCTAGCCCAAAGAAAGATGAATTGTGATGTCCCACATTAGTTGGGGAGGAGAACAAATCACCGTTTATAAAAGTGTGAAAACCTTCTCCTAGTAGACGCGTTTTAAAGCCTTGAGGGGAATGCGAAAGGGAAAGCCTAAAGAGGATAATATCCTAGCGGTGGATCTGGGTCGTTACAAATGATATTAGAGCCAGATACCGGACGATGTACTAGCCTTCTCGCTGTTCCCGAAGGGGTAGACACGAGGCGGTGTGCCAATAAGGACGCTGGCCCCAAAGGGGGACTTAAGGGCGGACCCACATTTGGAGGAAGGAAAGAGTATTTCACGAGAAGAACAAATCACAATTTATAAGGGTGTGGGGGTGGATTGTGATGTCCCACATAGACGCGTTTTTAAGTATGGAGGGAAAGCCCA